TTGAATAAATTATGAAAACCTTCCCACAAAGAAAACTGGAGGCCCACGTGGTTTCCAGGTGAAATTTAGTAAAGAAGAAATAACAGCAATCTTGCAGAAACCCTTTCAGAAAATGGAGGAAAGAACTCCCTATTTAGTTTTATTAGATCAATATAACCCAAAGCCTGAGGGTAACATTACAAAACACATACCGAGTGATCTGTAATTGACATTACAGATAAATATCCCTCATGAATGTGGATGTAAAAATCCTCAAAATATTAGCAAATACATACATATTTATATATTTTATATATCTGAAAAGCCATGTCCAAATAGGATTTATCAGGAAAGTAAGGCTGGTTTAGTATTTGAAAGTCATTGCTTAATCCATCATATGCACATAATAAAGGTTCTGTCTTCTTAAAAGTTGTCAAAATTGGGTCCTCCCTGGTGGCACAGCTGGTTAAAGCACAGCACTAAGAAGCTTAAGCCACTTCTGCATGAATTGGATTCCTGCCTGTCCCGGAGGTGACCACATGGCGCAGCAGACTTCTCCTGACCAGCCTGCTGCTCCCCTCAGCAGTGTACTTCGTTGATCTGCCCGTTCTGCTCCCCTGTCTCTGGTGATTCCTCTCACCCGCCGCATCTCTGGCCTGTACCCCAGTTCTATATGAATAAATAAATAAATCTTTAAAAAAAAAAGTTGTCAAAATTGGGCCCTCCCTGGTGGCTCAGCCACTTGAAGCACAGCATTGAGGGGCTGGGACTACTTTGGCATGAGTTAGATCCCAGCCTGCCTTGGAAGTGACCACGTGGGCGGCAGACCATTCCTGACCCGCTGGCTGCTCCCCTCAGCAGTGTGCTTCATCAGTCGGCCTGTTCTGTTCCTCACTCTGTCTCTGGTGAATCCTTTCACCGCCCCTAAACCAATGGCCTGTACCCCAGTCTGTATGCATAAATAAATTTTAAAAATTTGTCAAAATTTAATGGAGCTACATCCTTATTGGCTTATAGACTTTAAAAAATATTTCTAAAAGAAAGAAATTTTACTTATATATTTTTTAAAAGATTTATTTATTCATACAGAACTGGGGTACAGGCCAGAGATGTGGAGGGTGAGAGGATTCATCAGAGAGAGAGTGAGGAACAGAACAGGCAGATGGACAAAGTACACTGCCGAGGGGAGCAGTGGGCGGGTCAGGAGAGGTCTGCCACGCCATGTGGATCTCCTCCCGGGCAGGCGGGGATCGAACTCATGAGAAAGTGGCTTAAGCTTCTTAGTGCTGTGCTTTAACCTGCTGCGCCACCAAGGAGGGCCCTACTTCTTATATTTAAGTTACTTTACAAAATATTACTGAACAATATGAATTTTATTCAGTCACTACAAAACTTCAACTATGTTTAATAATAGATCTTGTTGGAGCAAGATTTTTCCCTTGGTGAAAACAGCTAAGAAGCTAAAGCCACTTCAGCATGAGTTGGATCCCGCCCAGGAGGTGCTCCACATGGTGTGGCAACCTCTCCTGACCCGCCCACTTCACAGGTGAATACCCTTGAGTGAATACCTTCAATATAATGCACTAATAAAAAAAGCCTTGGTGTACTTTTTACCCATTTCATTATCCACATCATCCCAAAATGCTGAGATCAATGACGTGGTCCTGTCGAATACTGTTCAGTAGCTTACTCAGGCACACTCCTAGTGCTGATGCAGAAACATTCCCAAGAGACTACTGAATACATCCCTATGTAGCATATACTGGGAGAGTGAATATATTAAGAGAGACATCAAAGGACTAAAAACCAGAAATGATCATTTCAGGTGTTAACCACAAAATACCCTTAGACTAGAACATACACTGTGAGTACATACTTCTGAGAATAAATGTGTTTAAATCCTACAGTCTCAGTAGTCCATCCCACGGATTATCTGACCTCCCCCCCCCCCCCCCCCCCACAATTTTACTACATCATCTCCAAAAATAGCTAGCTTCCTTCAAGAGTCTACAAATCAAAAAAGGAAACCTGCAACGGAGACTTCTAGTTTCCATACTGGACTGTAGAAAGCCAGAAACCATTGTTCCCACCTATGATGAGACTTGCTAATTTCATGGTTTTACTCTAACCCCTAATGTATGTTATTTATTTACTTTGTTAAAGATTTATTTATTTATGCATACAGAACTGGGTTACAGGCCAGAGGTGCAGGGATGGTGAGAGGGTTCACCAGAGACAGAGTGGGGAGCAGAACAGCAGATGTACTGAAATACACTGCTGAGGGGAGCAGCGGGAAGGCAGGAGAGTTCTGTTACGCCATGTGGGTCAGCTCCCTGGCCGGGATCAACTACTGTAGTGCGTTGGCCACCAGGGAGAGCTTGTATGTTATTTATTTATTTTTTTAAAGCACATTTAGGTACATAGAAAAAATGAGCGGAAGGTACAGAACCTTCCATAGTCCTGCCCTCACTTGGAAGAACCTGCACCAGAACTGTACATTTCTTACAACTGAAACTGTATCTATCATAGAAACTGTATCTATCATCGTTACCCAGAGTCCATAGTTTAAATTAATGTTCATTCTTAGTAGTGCACATTCTGTGGATTGAGACAAAGCTATAATGACATGTATCCACTCTTGTAGTATCATACAGAAGAGTTTTATTGTCCTAAAAATTCTGTGCTCTCCCTCTTACCCATCCTCAACCCCTAGCAACCAGTGATCTTTGCACCATTTTATGGATAGTTTTGTCTTCTCCAGAATGTCATATAATTGCAATCATACAGTGTGCAGTTATTCCAGATTGTCTTCGCTGAATAAGTAGGACACACCTTAAGCTTCCCCCTATGTCTTTTTATTTCCTTGATAGCTTGATAATAATATTCCATTGTCTGGCTGTACCCCAGTTTAGCCAATGATTTATGAAAGAATATCTCAGTTGCTCCCAAGTTTTGGCAATTATGAATAAATCAAGTCCTTCACTAATCTGAGGGAGCAGGATTCATTTAATTGCTATAGATGAAGGGTGTTGGGGATGGAATCAAGTATAGGTTTTATTTGTTTCTGTTTCTCAGTGAAATAAGAAGTCAAGGTCAAAAACTGAGCAGGGGGAGGGTACGAGGGTTGAAAATTTGAAATATGCATGCCCTCCCTGTGCCCCAATGGGAAGCTCAGTACTGCCAGCCTCTTCAGCACAAATTCAATCTCAGGTCAGTCTCGGAGGAGCTGACCCACATGGCACAGCAGACCTCTGCTGCAGACCCTCTGCTCCCCTCAGCAGTGTACTTCGTTGACCTGCCTGTTTTGCTCCCCACTCTGCCTCTGGTGAATCCTCTCACCACCCCTGCACCTCTGGCCAGTACTCCAGTTCTGTGTGCATAAATAAATCTTTAAAAGAAAAAAAGAAAATTGAGATATGAATTGGTTCCCTTAGAGAGCGGGAGGGGAACCTGTCCAGAGAAACTTAGGGTTGGTTCCCTTTGAGAACTGCAGCTTTATAGTGAATTTTGAAGGACAAGGAAGTGCCATAGATGAAGATCACAAAAGTTAAAAAAAAACAAACATTTAACAATTTTTATGGGTATCTCTTGTGCCCCCGCACTGACTAGGCTGTGATTTGTCACTTAAAACAGATCATAAAAATACTAAAGTTGGCTGTTCGAACAAATCTAATCAAGAGAAGGCTCTTCACTGAAAAAACAAACAACTGCCAGAAGTCACCACATGACCTTTTAAAATGACTTGTTCTTGGGCCCTCCCCGGTGGCCCAATGGCTTAAAGCCAACACTGCAAGACAGCCGCAGCCCTCTCCCGACCCACCCGCTGCTCCCCTCTGCAGTGCGCTTCGTTGATCCTCCTGTTTAGCTAGCTCCGCACTCCCTGGTGAATCCTCTTAGGGCCTCTGCACCTCTGGCCTGCACCCCAGTTCTGTATGCATAAATAAATAAATCTTTAAAACAACAACAACCAAAAGACTTGTTCTTAATCTTGGGGAGGAGTTTCTGAACTCTTGGACAGCCTACCGAAAAATAGGCACGCACACAAATTTGCAGACAGCAGGTAGTATAGGACCACATATTAACAACTTCTATCACAAATTCAGAGCTCCTATTTTAAACAGTAAATTGTTTCAGTGTGTTTTGAGTGATCTAGTCTACACAAGGCTTTTAATGAGTTATTTATGATTTTGTTTTGCTTTGTTTATCTCATTTCAAGTTTATTAAAACTAGCAGTACAAATTACCCAGGTCGCAGATTATCAAAAGAATAAAGTCCACATAAAAAAAAAAAAAGGACAAACATAAAACAATCCAAAAGCAATGAAAAGAGGAAATAAAGCATAAAGGAGATTCATTGCAAGTCTCTAAAAATTTGAGACAGAATGGAAATATTTATTTACTTATGTATGCTTGTGTCTTTGTTACAAAGCACATCTTAATAAGGGCTCAGAATATAATATTTTAGGCTTAAAAAATCTTGCTAAAATAGTATACTCTTCACCCAGAAGGTTAGCATCTTAGTAGTCGTGGGACAATGATCAAAACTATTGAAACAATACGATTAACATTAAAGAGACCTTATTCAAATTTCACCTGTTGTCTCATGTCCTTTTTGTGTTCCAGGATCCAAACCAGGATTTCATTTTGCACGTCAAGGATCGGGTTTATCCTTTCTTAAATCGAAAATAACTAACTTAAAGGATTGTGTTTCTGAGGGCAGATTTTTGTCTGAATCTGTTTTCCTTTTTAATAGAGGTAGCGTGATCAAGGACCCGTAGAAAATACATGTGAATGGCTTGGCAAACTTCAAAGGTAACCGAGCAAAAGATGTTTATTGCTCACAGCTGGGCACATACAGCGTAGCTTTTAGTTTAAATAGAAGTCAAAACAAAGGAAGAAGCAGCGCTTCGCCTTTGTCGAGGTGTTTTGCCCAAAGTGAGACCCGTAGTTCTAGCACCGCCCACTGGCTGGGGGCGGCTTCTGATTGGACGGCGTGTGTCCGCCCTGACGCTAAGGGCCGCCTTATTGGTCCGGCGGTCTGGACTCGCAGCTTTTCTCTTAGTGCTCTAGGCGCCGACCCACTTCTCTGTCCACCACGGAGAGCTTACTCCCTTCGGAAGTGCCCGGAGCTGCTGGCCCGAAGGGATCCGGACCGCGCTAGGCCGGGTAGCTGCATCGAGGTCAGCCGGGAAGACGCGGCGGGCATGCAATACAGTCGGGAGGTTGTGCAATACCGGCGGTCGGCGAGCCCGCCCTGTCTGCTCGCCCCTCCGCCCCCCGCGGCGCCCGCGATTTTCTTACTCCGACTGACCCACCATTCCCCACGCTACCCGGTTCCCCCAAAGGTTTTCCACGCCGATTCCCCCCTCCGGGCCCCGCCTCCTCCGCCAGCGCCCCAGCGACCCCGCCCACTCTGGACTCTCGCCCCCTCCATTGCCCGGTCTCCGCGAGATTTTCGCTGGCTCCGCGCTGACGCTCCCTCTACTGAGGCCCGCCCATAAGCGCCCAGTGGCCCCGCCCTCGCAACGCCCTCTTGGCCCCGCCTCTTCCGCGCGCTGCTCCGCCCTGGCCACGCCCACGGCTCCACCCCATAGGCTCCGCCTCCTTCGCGCCTCCGCCCTCTCCGCGGGCCCCGCCCACTCCGCCTCCCCACCCACCCAGCCTGTCTCAGCACACCTAGACTCCTCTCAGTGTCTTTAGTTTGGTTGTGTCCCACCCTCTACTGTCATGGTTTCCCAGCAACCCCTCTAACCAGCATCTTTCTATTAATCACCTGTGCACCCATCTCCCCTTCTGACACCCAGGGGCCCTCAATTCTGTACCAATCCAGACGGTCTCTGTTGGCTTAGCAAATTGTGGAGAGTTTTCCTGCTGGGTTTGGCGGTGAGCTCTCCGCCTGTGGGAGAATGAGTGTAAGGGCTTGGTGATATGTATTTTAAGGAAGAAAGCACAGGACTGAGATGTGTAGAGGCCCTTTCGCCTTCCCTGCTGGGTTTGCTGCAGACCTGGGAGGGGTTCATGGAGTTTTCTCCCAAATTGCCCCTGGCTGCTTCTGATGGAGACGCTGGGCTTTGTGCAATGGTTAACCATTGTCCTTAAAAACCCGGGGATCAGCACAGTCTTGTCATGGGCTCTTCACCCAAGTTGGTAGGGCTTGGAGCCCACCCACCCCTAAGTGCCCACTGGGAGGCTGAAGACCAGGGATGGAGAAGTGACTGACTTGCACAAAGTGAGTGACTCAGCACTGTGGATGATGCCCTTTTGGAGTTTTCGTTGATGAGTCCTACCCGACTTTTCAGTTATCTGGTTGTCTTTAGGAAAAGTTGAAAGTATGTGTAGATAAAATCTCCAGCCAGCAAGTAGGAGACTGGCTCACACCCGTTGTCTCGAGGAGTAGGTCTCTGGAGTTTCACCCCAGCTCTCCCATTCACTGTGAAGTCTGGGAAGATAATGTCCCTTATCAGAGCTCAGTTTTACTTTGTGCAAAAAAGTATGATAAACCTTGTCACAAGAGTCATGGTACAGAATTCTTGAGATTCAGCTTAAAAAGAAAATCACTTAGGATCTTGGAAAGAGCAGGCCCTCAGTGCCAGTGAACACATACTCTTCGGATGCACCTGTGTCTGGTTCATACCAGCAAAGAACCTGGTATGTTGTCCTGTTCCAGGCACCATGACGACCTTGGATGATAAGTTGCTGGGGGAGAAGCTGCAGTACTATTACAGCAGCAGTGAGGATGAGGACAGCGATCGGGAGGACAAGGATGGAGACAGGGGTGCCCTGGCCGGCAGGTCAGTGCCTGCAGATGCTGAGTTGGCGGGTGAAGGCATCTCAGTTAACACAGGTACTGGCGAATCCTAGGTTCTGGGAAAAGGTTTCAAAAATGTTCCTTTGGGACCAGGGGAGAAAATAATAATAATAATAATGAACAACTGTATACCAGAGACATTTTTTGGGGATGGAGTGGGGAATGGGATCAAAAAAGTAGGGAGAGGGAAGTGCACTGGACTATGGTGATGGCACACGGGTGATTTGGCGATGGGAGGAAGCTCAGGGGGATTACAGCTGATATGGAAAAAGGCACAAAGTAATGTAAAAATAAACTACTATATTATTAAAAAAATATCCCTTTGGTATGAATCAGCTAACAGTCTCCTCATCATGTCTCTCTAATTCCAGGTCACTGCCAGAGATAACCTGGTGTTGTCAGTTCACGGTGTGTTTCTAACCGTGGCCCTGTGCCCTGCAAATGTGCACGCGTACAAGGTGGCTGTGAACACAGTCTGGGTTTTAATCCAGCTCCTCAAATTAATCATTGTTTGCTATCACATAAACCATGGATATGCATATTTACACTTTCACATTTAAATATTTTGAATTTCCATCTGCTGAGGTGACATGAGTTGATGGCTTAACCAGCAATAGTCTTTCCCCTTATTCCTGCCCTCTGACTGCTTCATCTTTGCTGTCCTGGTGGATGGCATATGGCAACTCGTTGTTCTATTTTCTTTCTTTTAAAATTTTTTAAAAAGGTTATTTATACATATGAGAACTGGGGTAAGGGCCAGAGGTGCAGGAGGTGAGAGGACTCACCAGAGACAGAGTGGAGAGCAGAACAGGCAGATTGATGAAGTACACTGCTGAGGGGATCAGTGTGGAGACAGGAGAGGTCTGCTGCTTCCTGTGGGTCAGCTCCCTGACGGGGGGTTGAACTTGTGCTGCAGTGGCTGTGGAGAGCTTTCTAGTGCTGCACTTTAACCTGTTGAGCCACCAGGGAGGGCCGCGCACTGTATTGTTATGTTTTATAATATTGTCTGGTTCACTGGTTTCCCCTCAGCACCTTCCTGTGTCATTCTTTTCCTGCCTTCTTCCCTCTTATTTTTCCAAAGCAAACATAGGAGTCTGCACACACATGCAATCCCTATTTTCATCAGAAACACTTTAACTTTAGAGGTGAACTCAGGCATAACAGCACAGCCGGCCGGCTACCTTTTTGTTAAAAAATCCAGCTCATACAGAAGTATGGGAAGAAAAAGTAAATTTCTCTTTTGCCAGTCCCCGTTGAGCCCGGTACCCAGAGATAGCTGCTCCAAAGAGTTTGTGCAACCTTCTAGCTTTGTTTTCTGTGAAAATACAAATGTGCACACACATGTGTCAGTTCCCACAAATATTTGTATACATACACTGCTGTTCCTAACAATTGAGACTCATATGATATTATTCTACGTTTTGCCTTTTCATTTCCTTTTTTAACCTAGTATACGTGAACATGTTTCTTGACTGGAAAGAGAACTGCCTCATTCTTTGTTGCTTTATTTTCCTTTGCATAGATGGACCATAATTTATTTAGTGTGGGGCCCTTGGTTGTCGCAGGCCATGCTGTAGTGGACATCATGGCGTATGGACCCTGCTGCCCTGTGTGAGGGCCTCTGCAGGCCGCTGGGGCAAGCTTAGACAGATGTGAACTTGAACCTACTGCCTATTCTTGGTCCCTTCCATGTTCACCCCCAACTCAGGTCCAAAAGGTGTGATCAATGACTGGCGCCGCTTCAAGCAGTTGGAGACGGAACAAAGGGAGGAGCAGTGCCGGGAGATGGAAAGGCTGATCAGGAAGCTGTCCATGACCTGCAGGTCCCATCTGGATGAAGAGGAGGAGCAACAGAAACAGAAGGACCTCCAGGAGAAGATCAGTGGGAAGGTCGGTAGCAGTGCCGGGTGTCTCTCGGCAGCTGCTGTAGTGGTTAAGGAGGTGGCGGATGTTTGAGTTGGCCTCCAGAAGTGGTGCCATGCAGGGGTACATACAGGGTCACGTTGTCACCTGGAAGCACCTGACTTGGAATCTCAGCTCTGCCCCTAGTGACTGTGGGGTGGTTTAGTCATTACTTCAGTGAGGTCAGTACCCATATCTCACAGGGATGTGTGGGTGAGTGCGTGCCCATCACAGGGCCTGGCTGGGTAAATGCAGTTTCCATTTTTTAGGGCTGTTCTTGGGCCAGAAATAACCCTCTGAAGTTGGTGGTATTTTCCATGTTTACAGATGTGAAATGGATGCTTAGAGAAGGAAGGGACCTTGCTCATGGTCATGCAGCTAATAAATGGTGATAGAAGCTGGGCTTCTAACCCAGATCATCCTGCTCTGTCCAGGATATGGCTCCAGTTCACCTGAAGCCTATTCACGAGAATTAATCCTGAGGAGGTAATCCAGTAGAAGAAAGCGGGTGCCTCACAAAACATTTGGAACTGGGTCCCCGACTCTCTCATACCTTCCCAGTCAGTATTAAAAGATTAAAAGGACCTTCTTCTCCCTCCTCACAACCCCCACACCCCCGCCCAACCACAGAGGAACAAACATCTAGAAGGGCCAGAGACCCTTTGGCTGTGGCCCAGAGAACAGTTGGCTGGAAACAGCAGCCAGGATCAGGCAACAGATGAGGGTTAAAGGAGGAATCATTTCAGGGCTTTAGACTCAAGCAAAGACCGTAATTAGTCAAAAAGGAGCCAGTCGGGTAGGCTGAGGTAAACGAAGAGTTGTGAGATGGAAATAATGAGTAAAGTAGGGACTTTGAAATGGTGCTGCTGTGTCATAGGAACCTGATCTGGCGGGTCCCAGCCTCCACCTGTGCAGGATAAGGCAGAGCTGGGCTCGGGCACAGGCACAGGGAAGTCTTGCTATGCCCAAGAGAGGAAAGGAGGTTCGTCCCTTCAGCAAGCTGCCTGGCATCGTGTCCACCTCTCACAGCCCCTGGCTTGTACTGAGCTGAGATGACCAGCGGCAGTGTTGAGAGGGGATGGCTTGTCCTGCTGGGTTGTCTGCAGGAAAACAGAGCGGGGCACTGACAGGAAGCCAGAAATAGGGGCGTGGCCAGGCAAAACCAGCCCTTTATGTACATCTCAGCAACGACTGTTTGGAAACATGAGGAAACAGTTGATATAATCATGCTGAGTGGCAAAAGTATCGTACAGTCGACTTGGTTCCCCACAAGTGTTGTTGCAAATGCAAAAATGACTTTAGCCTGTGATTGGACGTGAAAAGTTTTTCGTGAACATGTGTGTGTGACTGTGTTTTAAGTGTGAGCCGGACATATGACTGTAAAGTTCCCTAATGTCCTCTAGTCTTTTCCACAAAAACCTAAGAGGGTAAAATCAGTAATCCTTTGTCAAGATTGACAAAAAGAAAAAGAAAGAGCCCATGAGGTTATGTCATCCAATGCTGCCTGTTTGAATAGAGAGATGACATGAAGCCCCTGGGTTTTTAAAATCAGTTAGAAACCTCGTCTTATTGTTGCCTGTGTAACCTTGTGCAAATAATTTCAAGTCTGGGAATCTCATTTGCAAATGGGACCACTAACAGCGCCTTCCCATGAGGCCGCCTGCAGAGTTCCATGCGGCCCAGGCACCCGGCGCCCCAGGCCTGGCCCCATGTGCCAGAGCACGGGTGCGGGCTCACGTTAGCGTCGTGCCCCATGCTCACTTGCTCGTCCTCCTGCAGGTGACTCTGAAGGAGTTTGCCATGGTGAGCGAGGACCAAGACGACGAAGCGTTTCTGCAGCAGTACCGCAAGCAGAGAATGGAGGAGATGCGGCAGCAGCTCCTCAAGGGGCCCCAGTTCAAGCAGGTTTTTGAGATCCCCAGTGGGGCAGGGTTCTTGGACATGATTGATAAAGAGCAGAAAGGCACCCTCATCATGGTCCACATCTATGAGGACAGCATTCCGGGCACCGAGGCCATGAATGGCTGCATGATCTGCCTTGCCGCCGAGTACCCAGCTGTCAAATTCTGCCGGGTGAAGAGCTCGGTGATCGGGGCCAGCAGCCGGTTCACCAGGAACGCCCTGCCCGCCCTCCTCATCTACAAGGGGGGCGAATTGATTGGCAATTTTGTCCGGGTCACTGACCAACTGGGGGAGGATTTCTTTGCTGTGGACCTTGAAGCCTTCCTGCAGGAATTTGGGTTGCTCCCAGAAAAGGAAGTCTTGGTGCTTACGTCTGTGCGTAACTCTGCCACCTGTCACAGCGAAGACAGCGACTTGGAGATAGATTGAGCCCCGCGGCCACTCGCGCCCTTTTCCTGCTATTTGGGCCGAAACATGTCTGTAGTTGTTTCCCTTCTGTTACTTCCGGTGTCTTCTGGTGTTTCAGCTGTCCTGTGTAGTTCCTTTGATTATATGTAACATCAAGAAATTCTTAGATTAATTCAGAATGCTGAATCACCTTGTGATTAGCAATAGGTGACTTAACATTGTATAAACAGGAAGCCAGGCTTCTGAGCTGTTTACTTAAGATTCTCTAGTATGAGATCTCTGTTATTGTTTCCAGTCAATATTTACAGAGCGTCCTAAAGACAGAGTCCTGGAAATTGTGTTCAGATGAGCTGGGAGGTCTCTACCAAGTCTGAAGTATGATTCTGTAGCTTGTGTGTTATTTGCAACGTACATAGTGCATTTCCTTCATCCAGTGGCTGTAAAGTATATTTGCTGGTGATCAGACCCGCTCTCTACCAGTTGTCTTTTTCTCCTAGTGTATCGTCTCCCTGGTCTTGCCTGAAGGTTGCAGAGCTTTGTGTTTGCCCCATCACAAGAGGCGAACTCTGCTGGTGGAGTTGATGTTCGGCTCAAGGGTGATTAGATCTAGAATACGGAAGGATGGACGCCCACTGCCTTCCTGGTGTTGAGCAGCCAGCTGGCATTAAGAGTTTGGACAGGGTGGTGCTGTGAAACCTTTGTAAAGGAGGATCTTTTAGTGAGACCCTCTTGCTTAGCTCATTCTCAGTTAGGTAACTGTTTCATGTTGTGGTTTTTTTTTTAAAACTTTTTGCATTTTGGAAAACATTATTCAGTAGAGGAAATTAACCAAAATGCAGAAGTTAAAACTAAGGAGATTAGAATAATCTCTAATCCTACTTGGGGTAAAACACTATTAATATTTTACT